GGGGGGGGGTCCTCGTCTGTGCGCGGCCTGGGGGGCCGCGTCGGTCTTCTAGATGGCCGGGTCGGTGGGCGTGAGTTTCTAGGGCGGCTTGTTCCCTGCGCGTGGGGCGCACGTGCTCGTGGTGGCGGGGGGGGGGGCGTGAGAAGCGAATGCGGAGGAGGTGGCGGTGACGGGCGTGGCGAGGGGGCGACGGCGATGGGGGCTTCCGAGAGGGGTCATTGAGGGGGGGGCACGGGCGGGGGTGACAAGGAAAAAGAATCGTCGACGCGCGCTAAGAATTCCGGCGGACCGTTACAACCGCCAACCACGCCTGGCCGGCTCTTCAGTTAGCTTCGGGTCAGCTGTGACAAGGTTTTCAGGTTTTAGATCAGTATTGACATTCGCGCTCGCCACGGTCAAAAAGTACCCCTCCCGACGGGTGCACAGGCGAACAGAGAGTTCGAGTCCAAGGCGCACGGCATCATCGATCGAGCTCATACTGCCTAGATGTGATCCGCCTAGATCCGAGGCGGCTTCACAGCGCACCTCGATCAACCCCCAGAATACAGCTCCACTCAAACCAGCCCAGGGACAAAAAGAGTATACAACAGCAGCCGACCCGAAGGGTCCATTCACAGCAACAACTGTGAACGGTGACTCGCTCTGGGGTTCGACCGCCGCTAGGCGGAGAGCGAGGACCTCGGTTGTGCGCTCCCTCGCCACTCCCCGCGCCCGGCCGCTTCGCCCCCCATCCCATGCGCTGCAGCGCGCTCGTGCCTGTGCCCCCCTTGCTGCGAGCGCCCCGCGCGCGGCTCGCTCCGTCTGAGGCGCGAGCGACACGAATCTGGCGCACACCCAGATCGCGGGCAGAGGGACGGCCCAGCGCGCAGCCGCGAATCGCCTCCATGCCTACTGCGCTCCCGCGACGCCCGACGCGAGCCCGCGTCATGCTCCCCATTCTCTCTGCTCTCTGCAGGACGTGCGCCGAGAGGCGCTACATGGTCGACTTCAACGAGAGCGAGGGCGAGTCGGCTATCTTGGTTGTGAGATCAACAAGGGGCGTCTGGTTCGACAACCCCCACGTGTTCCATCGGAGCCTCGCAAAGGTGCCAATCAGCTTTTGTTTCGCGCCTGAGGAGGGGGCCCAGGTTCAGACCGAGCTCGGGCCAACGGCTTCCGTCAAGGCCTGCATCACGTCGCTGCCGCCTTCGCTCCTCGGAGCTGAGGTGCGCACTTTGTTACGCCAGGATCGGCATTGTCCCTGCGGTGTCCCCGTCTCCAAACATTTACGTTTCTCCCTCGCGCAGGCGTGCGGCGTCAACAACGACGTCGTTGTGAAGGAGGAGGCCGCCACTCAGGAGCCAGGCCGCCTCCGAGGAGGCCGTCGTCGCCGAGGAGTCCGCCACCGAGGAGGCGACCATCAAGTCCGCCGCCGCCGAGGTGTCCGCCGCCGTGGAGGCGACCATCAAGTCCGCCGCCGCCGAGGTGTCCGCCGCCGTAGAGGCCGTCGCCGAGGAGGCTGCGAAGGAGGTTGAGAAGCCGGCCAAGACCGTTTCCAACACGCCCAAGCCAGCGGTGAGCGCGCCGCAGTATTCTCTCCTGGCACTCTCCTCGCTCTCCCACCGGTAGTAATCTCCCTTGCCCCTATCGCGCTTTGCAGGACACCACCTGCCACCCGGGCCTGACCACGCCGAAGGCGGTGGGGAAGAGCGGGCCTGCGTCGGCCCGCAGCGGCTCGTCCGCGGCTGCAGCTGCTGCTGAGCAGGGCCCTCCAGTGTCGGCGTCGCGTATGCTTAGTTAGCGAGAAAGCGCGTTCCGAGAGAG